GTTAGTTTGTTCCTGTTCCGTAGTTAAAGTTGTACCGAGTGGAATAAAAGTTGGAAGCAGAAGAAAGAGTGTGATACTCGGCCATCCACGGTACAATATTATGAGAGATAGCGAACCGAAAAAGTCTTGCTAAACTCTCGCAATACCTTCGCAAAAGGCCTGTGTCTTACAGAGCATGATGTTGGTGCTGTTATTGATCATGGCCTTGCTAACGAAAATGGAGTTTTGGTCTCATCACTATTTTCAGTAAATCCTTAAGTTTAACATTTTCTTAAAGTTGTTTGTAATGTAATAATGTCCAGGAGAGAGGAGAACTGAAATGGAGTAAAAACTGTACACTGGGGTCTAGCACACGTATTCTCTATTTCCGTTCTCAAGTAGGTACCTACCTACGGCATTTTTGCCTGGTTGCATTGTTCCAACGCACATGCAATTAACCTACTTAACTACGAATAATTATACATTATATAAAGTGTTACTGTATTATGTTACTGTTACTTGTATTACCTTGGATAATCTGATACATGCCAATGCAATATTAAATTTGCTTCTTTTCAATATCATGTTTCTCTTGAAACACGCAATAGGTTTGGTAAATAATAGGAGTTTTGGTAGATATGTAAAAAATCGTTTAAGAATACAAACTAAGAAGCATTATTTGTTATATAAAAGAGCCCTACCATAAAGGCTCAGTCGCGCATATTTGTGATTAATAATGTGGAAAAAATCCAAGAAAATTCGCATCAGTGAGCTGGACCCGATTTTGAAGAAAAGTTATATCCAGCAATAACTCAGTCCAAGTAATCAGTGTGCATTTAGCGGAAAATACTTAAGAAAATACAAATACTCCACTCGGGCCGTAGTGAGCAGTAAAACATCCCGGAATGAGTATTGCCCATTAAAAAGTTTATGACGATTGGACAACCCTCTGCGAAACTTTATGACGCATTTTCCAACGGAATTGTTTTTCCGTCAAATTGCTCCATTTTCTATCCGAAGCAAATACAGAAAATAGCAGTGGATGTTTGTCCAGTAAGCGTTTTGATGAAGCTGTGATGAAACCCCGTTTTATTACAAATCGTTCGTATGTTCTTTTACAACATGGCACAAAGTGGGACAAAAGAACTAAAAAAAATTAGTTGCTTGTCTAACTGCTGAACGTTACAGGATCTCAGAAAAAGTAATCATATTAAAAATACTGAATGGGTTTTGGTTTCTAAAATTATATTTCTACAAACAGTAGCTGAACGCCAAACAAAGCATCAATAGAATTTAATAAACGCCTATCTCCCGATATTAAGGTTCAAAGCGTATAAGTTAAATGTTTGTTATGACTCTATAAAACACATAGATAACCCATCAAATTCTAAATGATGGCATAAAGCAAGATAATTTTGCCATTTGCATTTATGACTGCTTTGTTTTGAATAGGATTTCGTCATAAAATTGCTAATGGGCCATAGCCCAAGAGTATTTGGATATTTGGCAGTACATTAATTGTCTTACAGCCCAGCAGTTCATGGCAATAGAAAGTACCTTAGTTGATATTCATAAATAATCCGAGTATTGAAGAAAGGAAAATTTTGCTAATTCAATATTGAATGGTTATCGTATGTAAGAGACTGTCGACCATTTAGCTGCAGACATATATTAGCCACACTTTAAACACATTCATAATACATCTAACTTTCCGTTTAGGAATGTGTTCTAAGTTGATTTATGAAGTTCTGTTTGGTTTTTCATCTTTTCTTAAAATATTCTTCCCTCTAGTGAGTAGCTCTTCTAGTTTACATTTTTCATGACGATTATATTGTGTTTCGGAGTTTTAATATACAATTTTTGTTTGTCAAAGGGATTGCATACGCCAAGTCCTTTTCCCATACACAAAAGTTAAAATTTAACGGTGTACACCATTATCCCAAACCAGCGATAATCATTATTATTTGGTATAAGAACCACAGCACATTATTTTAGTTCCGAGCAGCTCCTTCTTATTACGAGGAGCTGAGTTCGACCATAGAGCAACTTTTGTCCGAATAATTTTAATGCATCCGATTTTTTGAAAATGTCAAAGCTCTAGGCTTACCTTGATCATTTACTTATCTGAAGAAAATTGTTTTCTTGCCTTTTTAAATAAACAATTTCGCAAAACCATGCTGGGTTAACAAATTCTTGGTCTTGAATATAACACTTCAATATAAACAGGAATCTACAGAGTGTTCTGTTTGAAATAAGCAAGTTCATTTTTTCATGGTTTATTGTTGTCAATTCAAAAATAATTTCTTCACATCGAGAACCCCAAGTCAACTAAGAAATTCAAATTGTATATTCATTCAAAAATTGTTCAAATTCAAAATTCAAAATTGTACCTGTAGTTTACCAAAAGTTGACTAGGTATATTCCTGTAACTTGGACCTTAATTAAAAGCAGGTTGCAGCAGCAGCAGCACTTGCAGGTAATCAATCTTAGGTCCCTCAGCAAAGCACCGCCAGTACATGGTCGAGATGATCAACAATTTCTTAAAAATAACATATCTTGTAAGATTTGAGGAAAATGTTTTAACCAATTTTTACAGAAAATAACTGATTGCTGCTAAGCGAAAAATTGCAGCCAATCTAATTCAGACAAAGGAACAAAGGACAAAAAGATAAACAAATGAACCATTTTAGGGCACCGCAATAACCATCAATGCAGAAGGCCGAGAGTGATAGAGTGGAAAAGGTCGCCTCAAAGATCCGCTGCTCTGACGCAAAATAGCATTCGCGACAAAATCCCTATCTGGGATGATATTTGACACCAAGGGCAGATCCAGGGGGGGGTC